TACTTATTTGCCATTTCCCCGGAGATGAAGAGTTTCAAGCACACATACTTACCTATAGAAGATTCCTGAATATATGCCATGGAATATAAAATACAGACATCTAAGTTATTGTGTCATCTATCTTTGTCTCTATCTATCCAATAAGAAATGAAACATGGCGCAAAGTGAATTGAGAAGATGAAAGAATAGTAAAATATAGCACTGTTATTTAAGATACTCATAATTTATTTAAAAAGCAAAGATATATATCTTCAGGAAAGAATAGAAAATGATGTAAGAGATTAAAAAATAAATTATTGGAGTTGCAGGATTTCAAATACAGGCAAAATGTTTAAGGTGCAAATCATGAATGATTTGATGTATGTGTCTAGATTTTCTTTATAAATAACTGAATATGTTACATTTACCCTCTTCATATTACCACATCCTTCTTCCTTTTGCTGGGTGATCATTTCTACTAACTTACTTATTCCATCTTTAACAGTGCATGTTCTTTAGATGCTTTTCGGTGTTTGCTTTCAATACAAGACCTGTTAGGGCCTGGAAGTTGTACAAAATAAGTAACTGACATTAGGAAAATCAATCCTGTTTCTGTTGGCAATCATTTCAATTACATAAACTGTTTTATTAATAATATAATTTGATATGCAAGTAAAGCCATTATTTTTATGTTTAATTATGTTTAAAGAATGCTAATCCTTTTGGAATGAGTATTCTCTATTCTATTCTTATCAATGATCTTTTATAAAATTTTCTGATTATAAAAGTATTACTGCCAGCATTTGTGTTTTATTAACTATCTGTTCATATTTATTTTTTATGCTCTTAGTGTTTGTCGTATGTTTTGTACATTAATTTGATTACATATGATCTGTACTATTTATTGTTAATATTCTTCCTAGTTTGTGCTTATGTTATTTTCTGATAAATACAAAGTCTTATTTTTATTTAGTACAAGCGGTCTGTTTACCTTACGATTTGATTTTCAGTTTATAAAGTTCTTTCTCATTTAGATACTTGAGAAATACTTATAATTTCTTCTTGTTTCTTATTTTATTTCATTTTTACATTGTTCTCTTTAATTTACATTAAACTCAAGTATATTGTGATGAATAATTTAAAGTGAGAATCTAACTTTTTTTTTTAAAATAGGTTTCCAGCACCACTTATTGCATAATTTGTCTTTTTTCTACCAATTTGTGATGCATTGTCTTATATTAACACATTAACTGCCATGTGAGTTGTATTTAACTCACGCTAGTTTTGAGCCTGAGACCTTGTGAAGCAAAACCTGGACAAAACCCTGCAGTTGGTTTGTGAAAATCTTACTTTGTTGAGTTCTTATTGTTACAATTAATATTGACAATTTAATTCTAAAAACGTGAATTAAATGAATAGAAGTCAATAAATTTTATTTTTCTACTTATGTTTACCTTTAAATTACACTTAAGCTCGACAAGTTCAGAAAAACACTTTACCCTTATGAACTATTTTTCAGGTTTTCACATTATTTTTATATTATTAATTTTCAAGTTTTTATGTTACTTTTTTATTCAAAAAAAACCCAGAAAACAATAAAAAATAAAATTTTCATTAAATTAGAAAGGATCGTTTTGTTTTTGAAATTTTTATTCTATTTTTGTGATAAACACCGTGACCCAAGGAAAAAAATTTTTTTTCTAGTGTGGCAGTCAATGTGTTAAATTCTCCTATCTATTCTGATAAACATATTTTACTGAGTTTAAAAACAATAAAGATCCATTCTTAATATGATTAAAGCACTATTTATTCATTATATATTTTTGTTTTACTGTTTGACTCAGTTTTAATATAGTAGTTTCCATGCTCATTTATTTCTTCTTTACACCTTGAATCAAAGTGAGCTGAGTACTTAGACAAATACAGATTTTTGGTTTCATAAAAACTACCTCGTTTACAAATAACTCAAATTATAGGCATTGTACATATAGGCACTTGCATTCACTTTTAAGAAGTTAATTTTTCTCTTTCTGTTTATGTTTTTTAGAGTTTAATATCTCATATACTTTCAGCATTCAGATTTGATAAAAAAGAAGTTGGTCTTTTCACTCAAGGTCTAGGGTATGCGCCTGTAGATTACTATCCTGGTTTGCTTAAAAATGTGAGTATTTTAAATTTATTAGTATTGAAATTTTCATTGCAGAATGTACCATCAGCAAAAAGAGTAAATGGAAATATTTCACTCCTCCAGGAGAAATGTTTAACTTTTCTTTGTTTATCTCTTCTTACCTTGGGTAGACTTAACGGCCATGTAAGGAAGAAATGTGAGATGGGAGGTTATGAGAAAGGAGAAGGAAACCAGGAAAGATTTTATTAAATCTACCAATCAACCTCTTCTTCTCATAACCCATCTCAGTTATTCATTCCAAGATTATTGCAAGAAGAGCTTTCCTTGATCAGGATAAACACAGCCTTGTACTGTTGGACAAATCTAGTATTTAAAATAACTTGATTGGAATTTTATGTTAAAGCAGAGCAGAAAATTCAATAAATAATCTTGGAAATAGTGTTATATTAATATATTTACCTCTTAGTATTTAAAGCTTTGTTTTCTTCTGGCTCAAATTGTAGTCAAATATAGGAAGTTTTAATCTATGATTTTGATATAACTTTTCTAAAAATATTATGAAATTTTTCATGTTAACCATTCTGATCTTTTGGAAGCTTTATACATGAAAAGCATTTTTTAAAATGAAATAAAGTTAAAAAGAAGAAATAAACTAACTCTAACTTTTTTTTAAATGGTTTGGTTTTAATTCGTAGGAAATTAATGATCTATTGTTCATTGCCTAAATAAGAATGCAGAATAATAGACATTAAACATAAAATCCCAGTTATTAGTAACTGTGACTTGGCACTGTTTTCTTTTCACTCTGACAAAGTAAAACATAAGGAGAAGACGGTGGGGGGTGGGGGGAATCTCAACGGAAATATCACTCACACCAAGAAAAATAGAACTGATGTAATCCTGTTTGCAGTGTGAGTTAACCTGCAACTGATTTTGTGTTACAGATGGTTTTATCATTAGCGTCTGAACTCAGAGAGAATCATCTTGATGGATTTAACACTCAAAGGCGGTAGGTGTTAAACTAAACGTCCCTATTCTCAACTTTCAAAATGTATCAGTTTAGTTATAAGAGGAAAATTTTATAATTCATAGACAATGCATGTTCGTAGTTAAGGTTTGATTCTATATGGAGAGATTATTTTATTGGAATGCATAGCAAATTGGTGTGTTTTTTCAAATTTTCTTTTTAAAATTACTATTCTCTCAACTATAATAGGGCAGTAAGTGGATCATGTAATGTTTTCTGGGTACCCATTAGGTAAAAAGCCCTGCATATATAGTAGGGAAAACACAAGAGAGAGGAGCACTTAGGCTCACCCTGGGATTGCTCACTGTGGGAGGAGAAGGTGCTCGATGCAAGTGTTCTCATGCTAGCCTGTCCCACTCTGTCCCCCAACCTCGCCACACACAATCAGGATATTTACAAGGCAACATTTGGTGTGCACAGATGACTATTTTAAGAAACATAATATTCCAAAATCCAGACCAAACAAATCAAATAGATTCAGACAAATTAAAAGGCAATTAATCACATTACAAATGTTTTTTCACTCTGTGAAAGAAATCAGAGTTGTTTTCATTGGTGAGCATTTCATTTTTAACATATCATTAACCAAGAGAATCTGGGGACTGAGGGACTTTGTGGTTTTTTTGTAAAGCTATTGCTAATTAAAGCTCTATCAGAAATAGTCTTTGCCCTCAGCTTTTAAGAATCCTTTGCCTCTAACCCTTAAAGTAAGCTATAAAATTCTTAGAAGAAAACGTTGGTGAAAATCTTCATGACATTGGATTTGGCAGTGATTTTTCAGATATGACACCAAAAGTACAAGCAACAAACAAAAAATAGGTAAATTGGACTTTATTAAAATTAAGAATTATTATGAATCAAAGAATACTATTAGGAAAGTAAAAAGACAACTTACTGAGTGATTGAAAACTTTTACAAATATTATCTCTGATAAGGGATTAATGTCCAGAATATATAATGAACTCAACAACAAAAACCTCAATTCAAAATGGACAAAAGACTTGAATAGACCTTCCTCCAAAGAGACAAAAGTAGAAAATAAGCATATGAAAAGATACTCAACATCACTAATCATTAGGGAAATGCAAATCAAAACCACAATGAAAAACCACATCCACTAGGATAACTATTATTTAAAAAAAATAAAAAAGGGAAGTAACAAGTGATGGTGAGGATGTGAACAAATTGGAACCCTTGTGCATTGCTGGTGGAAGTGTAAAATGATGCAGCCACTGTGGAAAACAGTTTGGCAGTTCCTCAAAAACTTAAGCGTAGTATTATTGCATGACCCAGAAATTCCACTCCTAGATATACATCCAAAATTAGGAACTTTATTATATATGTGTGTGTGTGTGTGTGTATATGAATGAAAGCAGAAACTTGAACAGATATCTATACCAGTGTTGATTAGTTTCAGTAGCCAAAAGGTGGAGACATACCCAAGTGTCCATTATCAGACAAATGGATAAACAAAATGTGTTTATTCCCTAAAAAGGAATAAAATTTTGATATTTGTAAGAACAGAGAGGGACCTTGAAGATACATACCATTCTTAGTGAAATAAGCCAGACACAGAAGGACAAATATTGTTTAATTCCACTTACATGAGATACCTAGAATAGGCAAATTTGTAGAGACAGGAAGCTGAATAGAGGTTACTGGAAGCTGGAGGGAGGGACGAAGGGGAAGTTATAGTTTAATGTGTATAGAGCTTTTTCAGGGGATGCTGAAAAATTTTGGTGTATACAAAGTAGTGATGAGAAAACAGAACATGGAATGTATTTAATGTCACTTAATGATTACCACTTATAAGTGTTTAAATGATAACTATTATTTATGTTTTACCACAATAAAAAAATAAGAAAAAAAATCGAATGTCATACTATTATATACTCTCTCAAATGAATAAAATTTAAAGCACTCACATTATCATGTGTAGACGTAGAACTACTATATCTCTCATACATTGTTAGTGAGAATGTGAAATGCTATAACTACTTGATAAACAGTGCAGCAGTTTATTATAGAGTTAAACATATGCTTACTATGTAGCTCGCCCATTCCACTCTTATTTAGTCATAGCAAATAAAAACATAGATACTACTACTTGTATATGAATGTTCATAGCTGCTTTATTTATAATAGTTCAAAACCAGAAACAACCCAAAGGACCATCCTCAAATGAATGTGTAAAAAAAATCCGAATATCTGTTGTCCCCATTTGAAAAATAAAAGACAGGTTATAAACTGTGAGAAAATATTTTCAGATTGTACATCTGATAAAGCCTTTTATCAGATGTACTGGAGGCTTTATCAGATGTACTGGATTGTACAGAATGTATAAAGAATTCAGTAATAAGACAACCTAGTTTAAAAGTGAGCAAAAGATTGGAATACACATTTTAGTAAAAAATATATACAAATGGCTAATACCACCCAAGTACTTGTATGTGAATGTTTATAGCATTATTCATAATGGGCAAAAAGTGGAAGCAATCCAAATATACATCAACTCATGAGTGGATAAACAAAATGTGGTATGGTTATACAATATACAATAGAATACTATTTCTCAATAAAAAGAAAGTGATCCATGCTGCAACATGGATGAACCTCAAAAACGTGCTAAGTGAAAAGACCACATATTGTATGATTTCATTTACATGAAATATTCAGAATAGGCAAAGCATAAAGTAGATTAGCTGTTGGCTGGGGCTGGGAGTAGGAATTAGGGATTTCCTGAAAATGAGCACAGAGGATCTTTCCAAGGTGATGGAAATATCCTAAAACTAGATGGTGACGATGGCTTTTCAGCTCAGTAAATTTATTACAATTCATTGAATTGTGCATTTAGAATAGGTAAAGTGTGTGGTATTATGAAATATACCTAAAAATAAGGTGAAGAATCTATGAGAGGCATTGGAAGTGTTTAGATTCATTTATTTACATGTCAGGTAAAGACTTTGATTTAACTGTGAGGTGAATGTCAACTAATAGATCTTTTGAATAATGTTATTAAAATTTATTAAAAAGACTTAAAATATCAATAAGACACAATGTGTATGTACTCCCTACATTAGACTCCCCCAAAATGCATTGGAGTTGGTAATTTTTAAAAAATAAGCCGAGAATAAACAAAATCATTTTTAAAATCTATTAACAAATGGAAATGACCAGCCACAGACTTGGAAGATATTTGCAACCTATAAAATTGACAAAAGATTAATATGCAATATATAGAAATGACTTCCACACATCAATCATAAAGAGGTAAACACTCTAATATAGAAATGGGCAAGAAATATAAGTAGGTCATTACCAAAAGAAGAAAACTGAATGAATAATAAACATAAAAGGAATTCTTCAGGAGTGATGTCAGCAAGATGGCAGAATAGGAAGCCCCAGACCTTGTTTCACCACAGAGACATCAACTTAACTATAACATAGTCCCAAAAAGCCTTAATGAAAACTCCAGAAACCAATTAAGTTGCAGTACTGCAGGCAAGCTCAAAATCTGGAATAGTGCATTGAAATTAGTAAGAAAAGCTGTTTCATATCAGCCGTGATAGCCCTTCTTCCAAGCTGGCACAGCTTGGTGAGGTTGGGAGAAAAAATTGAACTTGTAGCTTCTCCATTGGCTGGGAAAGAAGAGGGGGATATGCACCCACAGTTCTAGCTTTTCAGGGGCTGTCTGAGGAACTAGCTTCTGTCTTGTCTGAGTTGGAACATTGACGGGCCCTGGCATAGAGTAGTCTCCCATTATCTGCAGGGGATACATTCCAAAATACCCAGTGGATGTCTGAAATCACAGATAATACTGAGCCCAATTTTTGTCAGTCATAACATGTTTCTTTTTATGTCTTCCACCCACAGGTTTAATGCCTTTTCCATCTTAAACTAAGCATTTATCACGCACGGTGGCTATAACTTTTGCTGTTTGAGGTGTGACAGCGAAACTAGCACAAATTTCTTTTTCCTTCTTCACAATTTCACAGATAGGAGATTCATTCTTACAATAGGTCTTAGCAATGTAAGCATATGATTTTTTTCTTTCCTTATTAAATCAAGAACTTTTCCTTTTTTACTTAAAGAAAGCATTTTCAACTTCTTTTTGGCATATCTGAATCTCCAGTATCACTACTATTGCACTTTGGAGTTACTATTAAGTAAAATAAGGGTTACTTGAACACAAGCATAGCAATACTGTGATAATTGATCTTATAACCGATATGGCTACTAAGTGATTAACAGCAGATAGCATATACGACGTGGATATGCTGGACAAAGAGATGATTCATGTCCTGGGCAAGATAGAGTGGGACGGCATGAGATTTCATCACGCTACTCAGACCAGCACACAATTTAAAACTTATGAATTGTTTATTTCTGGAATTTTCCATTTATTTTTGGACTGTGGTTCACCATGGATAACTGAAACCATGAAAAGCAAACTGTGGGTAAAGAGATACTACTTTGTTTGCCTTGGGGTCACAGAGAACAAAACAAAGCTTAGCAGTTTGTTGCAGCACCAGAGAACTGACAGAGCTGCATATGGAGGATGGCACAGCTCAGCAGGATTGGGAGAAAGCGCCCAGCTCAAGACTTCTCCCTTGGAAGGGAAAGAGAGAAGTGGAATGTGCACAATGCTCTGGCTTTTCAAGGGGCTACCAGAGGGACTGGTTTCTGTCTTGCCTAACTTACAGCACTTACAGGGAATTGGCATTCTTTGGATGCATGGAAAGTTATGAAGAACAAAAGAGAACTCAGCAGCCTTGTTGCAGCACTAGAGAACCTGCAGTACCACAAACAGACACCAGAGGGATGGAGAAATTACAACCTCTTGAAAAAGAAATTGAAAAGTGTCTCTAATTAGGAAATTACATTCACAAGCCCAGAGAAGACACATGGTTGGAAGAGACTTGAGGGACTCCCCAAGATCTCTAGGTGGGCTGATTGGTGAAGGTCTTCCTTTGTACAATGCC